GACCAGCTATTTAGGGTGTCCTTTCGGCAGGAGGTAGTTGCCATAGGTCACGGCCCTTAGGTAGGTACCAACCATACGTGGCGTCTAACAACACTAATCGTCACATCATACTATTTCGTTTCAACTCGTTTTTTCTAATAAAATCTTTATATGTACAATCTTGGGTTTAAAAATAAAATAAAATTATATTTAAAAAAAAGAATTTATAACATTATAAAAAAAAAGCATTGATGAATGATCTTTCACTGTCAATGCCTAACGCCGTTGGTAGCAGTAGCTGCATCCATCAGATTAAGTTGTTTCAGATGCAGAAATTTTCATTGGATTCCGTGGGAAGGTTTTAAAAAGTGTCAACTCAATATACTAGATTGGTTAATGGTGGCGACCTAACAGTTCAAAAATCTTTTCTTTAATTTCAACGATCATCTCCATATCGCACTTTTTCTTTTTCTTATTCTATTATCTCATTTTTCATATTTTTATTTCTTTTTTTCTATTTTCTTTCCTTTTTCGAGATGTTAAGTATTCTATGCATTGTTACTCATTGCCATATTCAATTCACTGCTAAGGGAAATTTTACATGTTAAGATTCTTTTGAAGGAAAAAGTTTAATGTTCCCCTTAATCATGGGTAGATACAATAGAAAAATTGAATTTAAAATATGAGATGAATGATATGATAAAAAAATATATTTATAAGATTTCCTCATTTAATATATATATTAATATTTCCATAAGATGCGTTGAAGATCAAATTAAATCAATCAAATGACTAAAATTAGGTACATATTCATGAAAAGTAAATTCGAGAGAGATTGAATTTTCAAGAAAGTCTTCGTATAAGAAAAATGTGAAGAAAATAGATGGAGTAGTTATGAGTAAAAGGGATGGAGAAACACTTATATATCTATGATTGGAAATCAATTTTTTCACGTTAAGATAATATAACAATAATTTGGTCAAAATATGGACACTATTTTAAAAATATTTGTTTAATAATTAAAAGTGTTAAAACTCCCAATCATTGTCAAAAATCCATTTTTAAAAATTAATTGTAATTATTTTTTCCATATATGAAATATACGTAACTGTTTTATTCCATTTATATTTTTTTAAGATCAATCAAATAAAAAAAATCTTTATGTAACTTTTTAATTATACTATTTATTAATAATTTATATTGGTTTTTAAAATTTTCAAGTTTTTGAAGCATGTGTTTTTGTTAATAAAAAATAGAAATAACACTTTGACATATATATATTTACATGACATTATTTTATTATTATTATTATTTTATAAAACAATAAATTTTATTATTTTATAATAATTTATTTTTATAATAATTGTGAAATAAACATAAATATATACGTTACTCTATCGTTATTAAAAAATAGCCTAAAGTCGTAATGTAACCGTAGTTTATGTGAGATGTACTTTACACTATTTGGTACAAACAAAATGCTCTACATCATAAAGAGAGGGAATCAAAGTGCATGGGTTGAGTAAAATGTGAGTTGTTTGCAACGTCAGATATGTGTAGAATTTTTTTCACATATATAATACTGTCGTATTTGTATTACAGTATGAGCAGAGATCAGGTTAAATCATTTTTTTTTTCTTTTATAATCAAATAGGACTAAGCTTTTATTATTTTATTTCTTTTTAATCAATCTATTTATATTTTTACTTTATTTTTAAAATTTTGTAATCAGCTCCCTATTTCTCTTCTCTCATGCTAAGCCCAGTTAATATTTTAAACTTACTAGAGAATTAATAGTAATACATTACTATTCATGGAGAGATTAGTGATAACCACGGAAATTGGACCACCTGATAATTTTAAAGACACTTCTTGCTAATCACAAAATTAGATGAGTCTCATTTTTTTTAAAGATTAATGATGGGTGGAATTAGTAAATTGTGACATGAGGGATTGTGAGTTCTTATCTCTGGAGTGAAAGTAATATATTTAAATAAAATCTAATTAATGACTATTAAAGTTCATTATATATGAATTACAGGTAAATATGGGTATATTTGGAATGTGTATGAGTTTTTATGAAAAATAAAATTAATTTATAACATTTAATTAAAAGAAATTTTAGTTTAACAACGGATCTCTTAGACATAAATATTTTTGAAAAGGAGTGTAGAAAGTAGTATAGATTTAAACTGGATTGGCACGGGCAGTGTGGCGAATGGAATCTCTCATGTGAAGTTGCAAAAGTAGTCTTGAAGGAGCCACTCTCATACACAGTCCTAAGACTGTGTGATCATTAAAGTGGGAAAGTCTACCATCATTATAATCAGTACTTTGTCGTTGAAAAATACACACCACACATAATAACAATAATAATAATACTTTTCCACTCTCATAACTTGTAAAACTCATCTCATCTACCACATTATCTACTGCACTTCTTCCAACACTAGTTAATTGGACTCAACACTTTCAACAAAAAAACACAACAGTTTGGTGCCTTCCCTTCACAAATACCTTCGCCACGATTGCATGCCACAGTGAAGGATACCTATTTTACCTTTTCTTTCCCAATATGGTCCATTTTACAACCCTCATGAAATTTTTTTCTCACGGTAAAAAATATACCTTTTGCATTTTCTTTCCTATTATGGGATATTCCACATCCCATGATAAAATATCAGACCATGGAATCAATACATATCTTGTGCACTTTGGTAAAATCATGATGTTATTATAGCAGCTTCGACCACCAACACAACTTCATGCGCCCCCCCTGCCCTATCCGAGGGCCCCAATCAACTGGCTAAGTTGTGTAATTCAAAGTAAAAACCAAGTTCCTTTCCAAGATAAAGATGTCACTTTGTAATCTCAACTTGATCAATCACTTTATGGATGGGGACACAAAAACAAACACAGTAAAAATTTGGAGATTTTCCTCTACAAGCCAAGAAAACTACACACAAATAGTCTGTTAAGGTAAGAACCTTTTAGATCAGTCACAAAATTACTAGTTCTGATTAATCTGTAATTAATATATAACCCAATAATTGTGGCAACCTGTTGGGACTTTTAAGAATTTAACTCAGACAGTGCAAAATGTGATGATTTTAATGAAGTTGGAAGTACATATAGATAAACATACAGTAGGAGGAGCAAAAAATTGTGAGGATAAGTTGAGACAAAATATGAAGAGTGAAATAATAACTGATGGACCAGACATAGATTTCTTAATCAACGGCTTCTCTAATTGCTAAATATTCTCCAGAATCAAATCTATTGAATGGCACACTTTGCCTGCACTTTTAGTTGCAGAACAGACATGTATTGGATTAGCTAGTAGAGTGATAGGAGACCAGATCAGCCACCTAGTATTTGCAATTTGTCTGCCTAAGTTGCGGCGTCAAAGTTGTGGTGGTTGTTGTTGCTTCTCTTAGGACGTTAAACGGACAATATTAGGATGTCGTGGATGAATACGAATTTGTTTTAGCTCGGGGTAACTACTGGACAATGGTGTGCATTTTAGGAAATTAAAAATGGTAACATCCTTAGTCCTTGCAAATGCAACCTAGAGTTTAGGACCACCTGTGTTATTTAACAGGTTTTAAATCACAGTTTTGTTGCTCTTTTTTATGATACTGAAATGGTGTAGATTGTAATAGTATTATTGTGTCATGGAAACTCTAAACCTCTTTATGTTGGGGCTAAAATGGCAGACATTTTTTAAAACCTTTCTATCTACTACAATGGTGTAGATTTTCAAGGTATAATACAACAAAAACTAGTTATTGGACTCCTACAAGAGCGTTTATGCACATGAAAGCTGCCACACCATTAGCAATAGCAACTAACACAAATTCAGAGCTTTAAAAGCATTAGTCCTGACAGTTTGCAGCAACTGAGATGTATATATATATATATATATATATATATATATATATTTATATATACATGTGTATATATGTGTCTATATATATATATATAATTCTGTAATACTGTAGTGAATAATTAACAAAATATTTGTTTTTTTTTTCTGAGGGAGATTTTTCATGTCGTACCTGATTAAGGAAAAAATATATTCGTTTGATAAACTATGACGGCATTTTGATCGAGTCCCCGTAAAGAGTTGAGAACTTTATTCAGTGTGTCTGTATCAAGTTCTCAAATAAAGACTTTACCAATTTTGCTGAATGAATTTTTCACACATTAACTGTTGTGTTGGAATTCAGAAAGTCTTCTGCCATATATGAGATAGATAGATATAGAATCAATTCTCCTCTCATCACCTTATGTTGTTACAAGTTTTAACGTGTATATATTTATACCATATATTATCACCATGGTGGTTGCGGCTGGAGTAACGTCTGATGTAATTGTAGTAATCAAAACAAAATCGAAAGAAGTTACCATATTTCTTTCGTATGCATATGAGTTAATGTAGTCACTGTCTTTGGTATATACGATCACTAAGTAATGTTATTGATTATATAGAATATGACAAAACAACATATAGAGGATTTAAATTCTGAATAAGGCATGTAATATATAATGTGTTGGAACGTAAAATCTCCTTGTCACTATAAACATATAGGATCAAATTAGTCCAAGTAATATTATCAGCAGTTTAACATTAGTTCTTTACTTCTGTATTGCATTACCTTAAAAGTAAAAACTTTGAACCGAACCGTTTGACTCAGATCCATGATGTGGTAAAATGGCTTGCAGTTATGCAGAAGAGAATCAAATTCTCATTCCATATCGGCTTTATGTTTTTTATTTATTTATTTTTTCTAAAAGGGCCTTTCTCTCTAAATTCGTTTCATTATTTAATGCAAAATCATAATATTAAGAAACTGACCCCAAAAAAATGGTTGAGTTAAAATAAAAAGATAATAAAAACAGAAACACATAGTATCACACGAATATCAAAAACCTAGTCTGGTTTCATGAGAGGATTTCCTATAAACTTTTGTTTTCTCTCTCTCTATCTCTCTTTATATATCAATATCATCCCTCATCCCATGACATATCATATCATGCATAGCAAGTAGCACCCTAAGCCTTTTAACCCCTTCACCTCACTCAACATTTGTTTGGCTACGCCAGCTCATTCATTTATTCATTCAACCCCATCACCAACCCCTCACTATCTCTCTCTATTCCTCTCTTTCTCTCTCTCTTCTCAAACGTTTCAACGTTTCAGTGTCAGATCTCAAGGCTTAACGTGGTGTTGGGTCATCTTCGGCTTTGCGTTGCCCTTGGTATTCGATTCTACACCCACATCGTTTTCTGGTAAAAAACAGAGTCTTTTGAGGGGAAAATGGCTAACGGGTTAGAGAGAGAAAGTGGGTCGACGATATTCAGCGAGGAGGAGCTGAGAGAGGTGAGTGGGGTGAAGCGTGTTGGGGACTATGTCGAAGTCACGTGTGGGTGCACGAGCCATAGATATGGTGACGCTGTTGGAAGACTTAGGGTTTTCGTTAATGGGTACCTTGAAATCACTTGTGAATGCACCCCTGGTTGTCAAGAAGGTCTCTTTCTCTCTCCAAAGAGGAGGGTTTTGGTTTTTGTTTAGTTTTGTTTTGTGAGTGTTTTTGTGTTGTGCATGTCTGAAGTTTGTGTTGAGGTGAGTTTTTTTGACGTTGATGGGTGTCATTATGGGGTTGTTTTGATCTGCTTCGGTTTGTGAGTTTGTGATGGTTAGTTCATACAGTTGAACTGTATGTTGATTTGTCTCACTGAACTTATTGGTTTGGTATACTACACGATCGGGCTTGGAGGGTGTTTGTTTTTGTTGTGTGCAATTGTTGAAGATTTTTAAACGACACCTGTCTTTTTGTGTGTTTAAACGTGTCTTGTTTTCTTTATGAAGGAGACCTTTTTGTTGTTTGTATATAATAATAACGTGGCGTAACCATTATGTTATACCGTTACTCCATGTTTGTTGAAAGTGATCGAAGTCTGTTTGACAGAGTAGACTGTTTGTGTGATCCTATGGTATTATTATTAATCAATATGTAACGAGTTTTGCTCATGAGTTTGGTTCTTGTCCCTGATGGCATATTCTCTTATGTTAGGAATGAATGTGATTGATTGATATTTGTATTTGGCATGAACCATCCGTTCCACTTGAGTAGTTTTTAATTGTTGGGTACTGAGTTGAACGAGTACCTTCGGCAGAGACTGAAAATAGAATCTAATTCTTTCAATCACTATGCATATGCTTTGTCTAGTTGTATTTGTTCCATGTATCAGATGTCTGCGTTATTTTTGCTTCCACAAGAATGTATAGAAGGATTAATATCTTGATGCATGTGCATTAAATAAAAACAAAGATAATGACTGTTACTTTGTGAATCTTGTTCGCCTCGCAGCATGGGATGTATTTAAGTAATCGTTTCTACAAAATATACATGAAATACCGGCTTAAGAAAATGATTTTCATAGAGTAATGTAAAGCCATGCCAATATGATTTGAACTTGAAAGCACCTACAGATCTACAATTAGTGAAGTGATCACATGATTAAGTGTGGATAAGAGTCCTGGAAATTCACTCATAAATAAATAGAAAAAAGGATTTTATGGGCCCTCTGGTGAAGTTGAGAGGGGAAAGTAAGCTCTAATAGCCTAGCTCTTGAAAAAGAAAAAACCTTTTTTGTGATTTTTGATTCTAGACTTTGCTTGCTATTTAGTGTTGCTTCTGATTATTATTATTTCTTTTATGTTAGTGTTTGTCTCCCAAATGACCTTTTTTATTTGCATTAACGTTGCTTTATTGATAGCCAAGTTGACTCCTTCTGCATTTGAGAAACACTCTGGAAGAGAGACTGCCAGGAAATGGAAGAATAATGTCTGGGTGATTGTTAATGGTGAGAAGGTTCCACTGTGTAAAACAGTACTGCTCAAATACTACAATCAGGTGTCAAAAGCAGCAAATGGATCCCATAGATCCCAAAATGGCCGTGCTTGTCACCGTGATGAGTTTGTTCGCTGCTCTAGGTGCAACAAAGAGCGTAGGTTTCGTCTGAGAACAAAAGAGGAATGCCGCATTCACCATGATGCTTTGGCAGATGCAAATTGGAAATGTTCTGATCTTCCATATGACAAGTATGTTCTTTTTTCTCTTCTATATGGTGCATTTTTAGAGAATTAAATGTAAATGAGCAAGTCATGTTTTGATTGTTGATGGCTTGTTACTGTAATGTCTATTTTTTTTTATTGATGTTAATAAATTCACCATGCTTTGAACGCTTTTATTTACGCCAATAACACTGCCTATTTAAAATGTTATATTATCGGTAGTGATATGGCCACGTTCCAGTTCATTGATCTTTTCTTACTTATGAGTAAGATTTGAATCTGCAGTAGCCAATAGTTGCTAATTTGCAGAGTGCTATGCAAGCTATAGTGTACAGTCTTAAATTATGGCATCTGTTGTTCTTACAACATAAGTACCAATATTTCAATTTGGCAAGAAGCTGTGCATTCTGGATTTAATGATTTAAACAGGGATTCATGGAAGAGGGGCAAAAATATGCTGAAGCTGGCATTTGGCAAGGGGAATGATGAGTGCAATTCCAGTGTACGACAAAAGAGCTTGAAATATAATGCCTAATAATTAAGTTTTCAAAATTGTGAAGTGATGTGTTTGCAGTAGATTGAATATCTTTGTTTAGCAAAAATTCACATTCGTCAATAATTTAATGACTATTTCCTGAGACAATTTGGGCGCAATTTTGTTATAGGAATGTAGTAGAAAAATAGGTCTTAGTCTCCTTAATGACAGTTAGGTTGTATGGGTCGTACTGTTCCCATGATTTTCTTTTCTCCTGAATTTAGAATGAAAACTATTCATTAGCACAGGAACCTTTGGTTTGAGATAACATTTTTTATTTACATTTTTAATTACAAAAATGGTGCCTTGTTTCTACTTTGTTTTCTGTTTTCAGATGTTTGTACAAGAAGCAGTGATACAAAGCAAAAATAAAACCTTTTTCATTATTTCCCATTTGAATTTCTGAAAACAGAAGACAAAGTACAAAGAAGGTGACACTTTTGTAATTAAAAGTAAAAACAGAAAAGGAAAACAAAAATATGTTTTCTATCTAGCCCAAAAGTTATAATATAGTTTTTTAAAAGTGTTTTGCCTACATGTTCATCTTCCATCCACCACTGCTAATGCCTCTTACTGCTTAGACTATTTTGGCCTCTGCAGTTATATATACTGCTGTTTATGCTATTATTATATTTGAAACTAGTAGCTTCTAGAACTTCATTATTGTTGACTTAAATGTATACCATCGCTTTGATCAGCCATTGCACGTTATTTCTAGTTATCAGTCCACTATGTCCATTTTCTCCTTTCACCCCATGTCAGACTGATCACCACCCTTTTGTTTAATAATAAAAGATTCTTTGCAACCAATGACAATGGATTGTTACCCCCCACTTTGGAGACGAAGGACAAGCTCCTGATGGGTATCTTATATTCTTATCCATTACAAACAGTTATCTGAAAGTATTTTGGTAAAAGCACAGTAGATAAATGGTTTTATTGTATATCCAGCATTATCATTTATCCTATTGGTCTTGTTATGTTATTTGCATATTTGTGATTACTGAAATTTTTGGAGCAACTAATAATGGTAATTATTTTTCAGAATTACATGTGATGATGAAGAGGAAAGAGCAAGTCGTAGAGTTTACAGGGGATGCACTCGTTCTCCAACATGCAAAGGTTGCACTTCTTGTGTCTGTTTTGGCTGTGATATCTGCCGCTTTTCAGAGTGCAGTTGCCAGACTTGTGCTGACTTTACAAACAATGCCAAAGCTTGACTCCTTCATATTATATGCTATTTTCTATTTTCTCACTTGTTAATGTGACCTATTTATGCCTCCCTATAAGAACAATACGTTTAATTTAATTTCCTAATTGCTCATTACCAGTCTGACTGAGTTCACCATTCCTTGTTCTCACTGTGACTGGATCATAAATTTCAATCTCAGCAATTTATTTTCACTCTCTCTTTCTCCTTATGTTTGTTTATATATATTATCATGAAGGAAAAAAGATGTTAATAAAAGAGGTGGCAGGTTTGAAATGGATAGTGACCTAGCCATAATAATGCAGTACCCGACCAGCTCCGTGTTTTCGACAATTATTGCCTCCTAGTCGATGCATTCTTATTTAGTCCTCAATAGTGCCTTTGTAGGAGGGTTGGACATGAGTGTGCTTTCTTTATATATGAGCCACATGTTTTTGTTCCAGTATAAATGATTCCAAAGGAAAGTAAGTGGTTGCTTATTCTGTTTTCTCTTTTTAAAGAATACTTTTATCGTCTTTTTGTTATCTCAGCAACAAAGGGCACGTTTATATCTTTCAGCCTGTCAATGGTCTATGCAAAACATTAAGCATTTATGTATGTTGGTTTTCATTTGTGAGAATGGTTTACTTGGTCTATTAAGAGGTATTAAATTCTTAAATTGGTTCTTAATTATTAAATTTAAAAATTGAAAGTAGCTTTTATCTTACAAAATGAGATAACATAAAGAATGAGAAATCTTTTAATAATAATCTATTATATTTGAAAAAGAAGATAAATGTGAGATAAAAGCTCCTTTCAAGATTTTACTGAAAATAAAGTCTTACAAATTATCGAACAATAAAACTATTATGCCTTTTGATTTCCCTAGGTTTGTAACTTTAACTCGTTCCAGCTCCCCCTCTGAGGTATAAAATGGTTTAAGCCTGAAAAAGCTTCAAGGTTTACTTGCATTTTAGATTACAAAAATAAATGGAGATGGCGTATAAAATATTTGTCCTGAGCTTGTAGGTTTCAGAGATTGTTAAGACCATTTTTAGTACAAATATTTCCAATTATTCTTCTGATCATTGGCTAGTGCAACATTTTATTTGGCCGTTTTGGTATATTATGTAATTATTTTTGCACAGAAAGATTCTATAAGAGATATATATTATTAACTTGATTGTTTCTAGTAAGACACATTCTACTTAGTTTAAGAAGTACATTAGGGACGCTAACGTTCATTTTTCTCTACAAATACTGGAATTGTTTCTAGTTATTACGATAGATTCTTAAAAAGGGAGTTTCCATCAGTGGCAGGAATAAATTGGACTTTCTAGGATGTGGTTAGATAAAACATTCATTGGCATATGATTCAGCCATGGAAAGTACACAGACAAAATAAAGAGCACCCATCTAGTCAAAATCCATATAACTTTCAACCACAAATGATGGATGCCTTTAATTTGAGATTAGAAACTCGACTACTTCAAGAACTTGCCTAATTCATTTCAAAATTCAACAGGCTTACAAGAAATTTACATTTGCAATACATTTCTTGGAAAATAGCCCGACTCAATATATCAGTTCAGTTTGCAATAGATTACACAATGAATGAACTTCACTTGGCTGGTCGCCACCCTTTCCTTCCTGCACCATGGAATGTTTTTCTTCCACGATTACCAGATGGACGTGCATGAAACTGAGGGGGAGCGCCAGAATTGGATGGAAATCCCTGTTGTGCTGGTGGCTGAATCTGTGGGAAGGGTGATCCCATCCCAAATGTCATTTGGTTTTGACCAACAAGCCCTGCTGCATATATGGATTGAGCAAACATATTGGGCTGCATCCCAGGTAGCATAGTTGAGGAAAGAGATCCCTGATTGCCATGTACTTGCTGTTGAAATGGAATTCCTGGCATTGGCAGCTGTGGAGGAATTTGAGTGTTTTGTGGGAACCATGATACCCCATTTGCAGGAAAACCATTAGGAAACATAGCATTCTGTGGCCGCTGTGGAAATGTTCCTTGTGTCCAAATTCCATGAGTACCAAAGTTGGGGGGCACTGCGTTTGAGTAGGGAAATGATGAAACTGTGGCAGTTCCACCCAACAGAGCTTGTCCAATGCCTTGAAAAGGAAGACAATTTCCATGACTAACCAAAGGTGCGGCAGGTGCATCAGGCATGGATGGTGCTGCATGCTCTTTAGGTGAAAATTTCTTTCTGTTATTTTTTTTCTTGCCATGATTTTGATCATTTACACCTCTTTTTGTAGTTCTATGCATTCTCTTGTATTCAGCCTCTTTCTCGTCATCTGAAAACTCCAATTCATCAGATAACTCTTCATCATTCGCACCAGATGCATCGTATCCTTTCCTGTAAAGATCCTTGTTATTAAGCACATGCTCAGCAAATTCTGGAACAAACGAGATCAAGGTTCCCCCATTGACCCCTTCAGGAACTTCACTTTCAGAATTATATCTCACAATATAAAAAGGGTTCTTGACTGGTCCAAAGATTTCATCAATTAAACCTAGTGGCTTTCGACTTTCAGTCAACCAAAGAATAGAACCCTCATTAAGAGGGTCATGCTTCTCCACTCCTTCCACAATGACTTGAGCACCAAGAATCTGAAAAATGAGAAACTTCATTAAGATTATTCCAACAATATTTGGCACCATTCCTATTATATTCCCATTGCAATTTTCACAACACGCACATTTAATAAAGCAGATAAAGAAGCTATATTTGAAATCAATAATGGAATGCCTATTTTTATTTGAGATAGGTCTACTGTTGACTTACAGAAGTAATGATTCCCACTGGCAACGTTTTATGGTGTGGTTCCAAAGCAGCATTGACAGGAGGAACAGCGGGCAGATTCTGCATATGTTGACAACCATTCAAAAGAATGCCCAAAAGCAAAATAAAATTGCAAATAACAATGACCCGAGTCATCATCAAGTTACTCAGACTAGTTCCACTTATTGACTTTCTTCAGCCCGCGTGTTTTGCATTGAACATCACGACATCTTCAAATTTCTTGTATTCTAATACAAAATTCCTAATAAAACTCCAGTATAAAGGGTCAGACTTTGTCGTCTTTGGTTTGAAAAAAATGCCTTCTGTTTTCACTCAGTTTCTTAGTTTTAGCAGTTTATACAGCAAATAGAGAAAACAACTTTATCTTATTTCAAATTTTCAATAATTACTGTGTAAACCCCGGAAAACAGGAAGCATTGCAAAAATAGAAAAAATAAATCTCAAACAAAACTATCACTGAGACAAAAACTGGAACAAAAATATTCTCCAAGAAAAAGCAAACTAAAATAAACATCTTACAATGACATGAAAGGATCAACACTTTACATGCTCACAGTAGACAACATTTTCTTTAAATGTTAATTTCAATGCAGCAATCAAATAAGCAATATGACTAAAATAACACCTGAAGCTCGTTCTTTGACCTGATGGGTCCAACTCCAGCATCACCCTCTTCATCATCATGATCGGCATCATCATCAACCATGCTCCAACTAGCTACCTTTTCTTCATCAGAACTAATCTCGCCTTCTTCAACTTGTACCTCGTTGTCATCATCGTCGTCGCCATCATCACTCTCCTCTTCGCTATCACTAGTACTACTGCCGCTACTACTACTGCTTTCACTACCAGAATCAGAACTTTCAGACCCTGAATTTTCACTTCCGCTTTCGCTCTCACTTCCGCTTTCACTATCACTATCACTTCCGCTGTCATCCTTATCACCGTTCTCCTCAATCGAAAAAGAAAGAGAGGAATCCAACAAATTGATCTTCTCCACGCCTTCCTCAATAGGAGCAACACAACCCAAAGTCGCAAACTTTTCTGTCTGCGCTTCCTGGGTCTCCACCCCAACTGGATTCGGGTCAATATCCAACCGATTCTCCTGTTGCGAAGCCACTGGTGTCTCGACCCCAATAGGAATCGGGTCGACACTCAACCCGTTTTCTTGTTGGGTAGCCATTGTAATCAACTTTCAGCACGAAATCGAAACGAAAAGTAGGTAGCTCAGAAATCAAAGGGAGGATTTGGGGTAGTTTAGGTGTGGTCGCTTAAACCCTAGGCGCTAGGGGTTTTTGTATTGTATGCAACCTCTATAGGAAAGAAACACGATATGTTATATATAGAATTTTATTTTCCCAATTAAATCTTTCTTTTTGAAAAATTACACAAATATTTTTATAAACCTTTTTTTTTTCTAAATCACACAAATATATGATAAATATTATGAAAATAACTGGTTTTTAATTTAAGGGAAAGTAATAGAGAAATATGAAAGACATAACTAGGTTAATACAAATAAATAAAAATAAAAAGTGAAATAAGGAGTGGTTTTAGTTTATTTGTTGGTTTCTTCTATTATTTTTATTTTCTTTATCAAACACACTCTTTTATTTTCTTCTATGCTCAATTTTCTTCACTATTATCCACATAAAAGGTAAATGAATTTTTTTTAGGCTTAAATGTTTACTTCATCCTCATGTTAAGATGTAAATTTTTGTTTAGTACTCAATTTTAAAAATGAAGACATTGGGTCCCAATGTTATGAAAAGTGTATGAATAAGATTCTGTCCGTTAAGTTAACAGCAACGACCTTAAGTTGACAGCAACGGTGTTAAGTTTATGCTGATGTGACCGTATTTTTTCTCTTCTGTCTTCTGCTATCCAACTTTTTCTCTCTCTTGCTAAACTTTTTCTTTGATGATTTGTTGAACTTGTTCTTTCTTTTGTGGATCTTATTCATATACTTTTCATAAAATAGGAATTCAATGTCTTTATTTTTAAAACCGGCTATTAAACAGAAATTCGTCTCTTAACATGGGAACGAAGTAAACATTTAAATTATTTTTTTAATAAAAAAAAGAATTTGGTTATGATAAGGTAAATATATGTATGAGTAAGGATTGAAAAGTTCTTTATTATGAATAAAAATATTTTGTGAAATTAATTTGATTAAATTAGTTTTGAAGCGAAATGATTTTTGTTTGAATCTTCTTCTTAATTGAAAATACATTTTTTAACATAAAGATTACTTAAATTTCCCGCAACTCAATTAAACATAAATCAAAATACATTTTTAAAATAAATGAAATATTTGAAAATTTTTCTATAATTATATTTATTAAATTTTTAATGGGAGTTGCCATAATCTAAGATGAACTTAAACACGCTAA